TGGGGGGGGGGGGGGGGGAGGCTGTTTGCATGAAAATTAAGGGGTCCTCATTGTTTTTGTCTTTGTCCCAAGGGAGTCTCTGTTAACAGTTTCCATTTGTAAGGGAGCAAATCTGATTTTATATAAGCTAGATTTGTATACTGGTATCTGTTTCATCTTATACTTTAGTAACAAAACTTTCCCTTTACCATCTGGATATTAAGTTCTATGAGGATCATATTCATCAACTAATATTTTGAGTATTCACTAGTAAGTTCAGGAAATTCTGCTCAAGCCATGGTCCTTATGCCGGTTTTAAAAAGACAGCCTGGATTTCCTGGACACTGTAGGAAATAATTACCTAACTGATCCATTTGTTTTACAGAGAAGACCAATTAAGATAATCAGGAGAATTCAGCATAAAATACTTCTTAGAATAATCATATTCTTTTAAAAACCCAGTGTTTAAAAATATTTGCAGTGGAAGCATGCTGATGTCTTCCATTCTTTTGTGTTTGTTGCCAGCCTTTACTGTTTTCTTTGTTGAGAGGTGCATTAGGTTGGTAGATGAGAGTACCTTAAACAAAGCTAATGTAATAGATTTCAGCAAAACCTTTTGCAGATTCTCTAATGATAGCCCTGTCAGTAATGTGGTGAAATGCAGGCTGGTTTATGTTATTGTCAAGAGAGTTCAAGGCTAGCCAGACAGGACTTGGAAAGTTATGATCACCTGCATGATGTTAGCTGACAAGGTGCTTCCTTGTAGATTGCTTTAAGATGGTTCTTGCCCGTCAGCTCCTGTAGAGATTCTCTTCAAATCTTCACATAGCCTTATGTATCTGTGGCTCCTGCTTTGAGGCAGAGTGGTGAAAAGTGTCCCTCAGACTGCTAGTAGGTGTTCTGTGAAAAAAAGGTGCAGTAACCAAATTATTTAGAGGACTCTGGATTAAAAAGGAAACAGATTTCTGTACCGTGGAACTTCCCTGGAATTTTAGCATGCAAATTTCCACTGTGAAACTTCAGAAAAGGCAGTGAGTGATCATGCTTTCCAAAAGACAATTTGGAGGATGAATTTTTGGAGAGGGGTCTGGATGAGGATGGCCCTTCAGACCCAGGGCAGATGGTCCTCTTGCCTGGGGGGTGGGCAAGGAGCGATACTGTAGGTGTGGGAGTGAGGAGGGGTGAGCCTGTGGAGACCTTTGGTAAGGGTGCCAAGGCAAGGGTGACTTCTGGGCATGTGGGTAGAGGGTGGCACAGTTCACCAAGACAGAGAATGTGGGTTTAGGGACAGGGTTGGGGGTGGGGGAATGATACACAGAAGGTGTTCAGTTTTGAACAGGAGTAGACATGTTTCTTGTGGTGTTTAATGAACTTGGACCTGAAACATCTATACCTTAGATATACATCTGTTCAAGTTTGTTATGGGGAAGACAGAATATTCTCAGGTAGAAGTAGAAGAAGCACATAATATTTACTGGTATTTTCAACCCATGGCTACTATTAAATGGTTTTTCAGTAAGGTAGAAAAGGCCAGTATTAGCTGTTTTGGTCCCATTTCACTATATATGTATTTTTTTCTTTTTTTTCTTTTTTCAACTTTCACTTAGCTTTCATCCACACTAATTTTTTCAGCTGGAATTACCAGATTATCTCCTCAAACTTCGTAATTTGACTTATTTTCCACTGTTTTGTGATTTGATTTGTGATTAGGTATTTATAGAAAAATGTTCTTTAAGTAAAAGCACACTGCATAATTGGGAGATTTTAATGTCCACAAGTTACTGAGTATTGATTATGTTATAATAGTTTAACTTTCTTAAATTTGCATTATGCTGTCGTCTTGGGCTGCGGTGGTAAAATTGATAAAGTTTCTGCCGTCTGGGAACTTAAAGTCTAGTGTAGAGTACAGAAAAGTAAGAGGTAATTATGATACCTGGACAATGTGGGCATTAAATTTTGTCAGTGAGCCCTGCAATATCTGATGCCAGTTTATTTAGTAGAGTCATTATATTATTTTTCCATGATAATTAATATAATTTCTGGAGCAAAAAAGCATGCTAGTCTCTTTTTAATGAGGGGAACGTAGGGCAGATGGAGATTGTGAGTGGCAAAAGTTGGTGGGGAGAGGACTGAGAGGCTTAAAGTAATATTTGTATTCAGAACTGCAGAAACTGCATCTTTTAGATCAGGACCTTTATTTGGGTCAGAGAATGTTTACACACCTGAAAGGATTTTTAAAATGCATACTTAAAGATTTTAAGTATTTTATGCATGAAAATGCATAAATGAAGTTTTATTAAGAGTGAGTTAATTTTCTTTGAGATATGTTTCTTTAGAGTGGTGGTTCTCAAACCAGGGGTGATTTTGCACCCACCAGCCCCAGAGACATTTGTCAAGGTCTGGAGGCAGTCTGGGCTGTCACAACGGGGGGAGGAGGAATGCTACTGGCATCTAGTGGGTAGGGGTCAGGGAGACTGCTGGACATCTTATGATGTGTAGGACAGATCTCAACAAAGAATTATCAGGTTCCAAATAGGGCCAAGGTTGAGATAGCTTGGTGTAGACACCTGGGATCAAATTCCAGCTCTGCTGTGTGGCCCCTGCCTCAGTTTCTCCAGTTGTATCATTTGGGATAATACTTTTGCCAGTCTTGTAGGGTTGTTTATAAGGGTAAATAAGTTAATATATGTGAAAGGCTTGTAATATGGCATTGAATGATGTAATGCATAAGAATTATATAAATATAGCCTATTATCATTATTCTGTCTATGAAATTTATAGAGAGAGCCAGTGAGTAAGATGGTATATGTAAAACAATCCTGTGGGCTCCCTGAGGATAGGGACTGGGCCTGTTTTGTTTATCACTGTAGATTCAGTGACTACTTGTAGGCCCAGGATGTAGCACATACTGGGTAAATATTTGTTGAATGAATGAACACATAAATTGTCAGGGCCCATCTCAAACTTCCTCCATTAACTGTTGAGACTGAAACTGGCTGTCTGTTGGGAGTCGTTTTAGCAGAAGTACCGCTAGGTCAGACTGCATGTCAGAGTCCTTGCCAGGATTGAAATACAGACTAGAGTCCTGATATTCTTAAGTTGTCCTACAGCCTCTCTGTTATGGACCAGCTTAATTAATCAGGAGATGTGACTGTTCACGTTATAGAATTGATATTATCTTCATCACTAATCCATTTTAAGAAAATCTTATTGTTTTAAAAGTAATTCTTAAGTTATTTTGCCTGTGATCATTCACTTGATGACTTTGTATTGGGAAATGGTAACATTAATTGCATTTCCTTGTTGTTTTTAATAAAGCCACGTATTAGATATGGAAAGCAGCTTCCATATGCTGGAAAGACTCCAAAGGCTTTGGAGTTAGAAGATTTAGTTTTAAACCTGACTTTGTCACTTATTATGCCTTTGACCTTGGGCGAGTTGCCCTCTTCACTAAGCCCTCAGTTTCCTCCTTGCCTGCCTCATGAGTCCCCAGGATTACTTTGCATATTAAATAAGTTAACATTTGTAAATACTCTTTGCAAACTCTAAAGGCTGTATTATAGCAAAGATGATTTATTGGTAAATATTCTTTGCAACCTCTAAAGGCTGTATTATAGCAAAGACGTTACTTTTATTTACATGCAAAATAGTTTTATTGCTTCTTATATTCTGACTTCCAAATTATAGTCAAGACTGTTGTATCAGCACCTAAGAAGGTAATAATTTTAATATAACTAGAAGTATTGCTTATAATAAGTAGAATAAGTATTTAGAGATCATTCCATGCAATTTCAGAATGTCTTTTAGAGTAATCTTGCTATCAAGAACTCTAATTCGGTTTTTTAATGTAAATTTATTTGTTAGCTATGGAAACCAAAGGCTACCACAGTCTCCCTGAAGGTCTAGATATGGAAAGACGGTGGGGTCAAGCTTCTCAGGCTGCAGAGCGTTCTTCCTCGGGACCTACAGAGCGGACCGATGAGAATAACTACATGGAGGTCGTCAACATAAGCTGTGTTTCCGGTGCTATTCCAAACAACAGTACTCAAGGAAGCAGCAAAGAAAAACAGGAACTACTCCCTTGCCTTCAGCAAGACAATAATCGGTCTGGGATTTTACCATCTGATATTAAAACCGAGCTGGAATCTAAGGAGCTTTCGGCAACCGTGGCTGAGTCCATGGGCTTATACATGGATTCCGTAAGAGAGGCCGACTACGCCTATGATCAGCAGAACCCACAAGGAAGCTCGAGTCCAGCAAAGATCTATCCACACGTCGAACAGATGGTGAAATTTTATAAAGAAAATGGCCACCGTCCCTCCACTCTGGGGAATGTGAGCAGGCCCTTGAGGTCCTTCATGGCTGACTCGGGGAGCTCCGAGAACGGCGGGGTCATGCGCGCCATGGTGAAGAGCCCCATCCTGTGTCACGAGAAGAGCCCCTCTGTTTGCAGCCCTCTGAATATGTCATCTTCGGGTTGCAGCCCTGCCGGCATCAGCTGTGTGTCCTCCACCTCGGCTAGCTTTGGCAGTTTCACAGTGCACAGCCCCATCGCCCAGGGCACTCCTCTGCCGTGCTCCCCTAATGTGGAGAATCGGGGTTCCCGGTCACACAGCCCAGCCCACGCCAGCAACGTGGGCTCTCCTCTCTCCAGTCCGTTGAGTAGCATGAAATCCCCCATTTCCAGCCCCCCGAGTCACTGCAGTGTAAAATCTCCAGTCTCCAGTCCTAATAACGTCATTCTGCGATCCTGTGTATCCAGCCCGGCAAATATCAACAACTCAAGGTGCTCTGTTTCCAGCCCTTCCAACGCAAATAACAGATCCACACTGTCCAGCCCAACTGCTAGTACTGTGGGATCTATCTGTAGCCCGGGAAGCAACGCCTTCAGCTACACTACTTCGGGCACCCCGGCTGGATCCAGTGCAGCCCGGGATGTGGTTCCTAGTCCAGACACACACGAGAAAGGTGCTCCAGAGCTTCCCTTTCCTAAGACTGAGGAGGCAGAGAGTGCAGTCTCCAATGGTGTGACTGGCCAGCTTAACATCATCCAGTACATAAAGCCGGAGCCAGATGGAGCTTTTAGCAGCTCGTGTCTAGGAGGAAATAGCAAAATAAATTCTGATTCTCCATTCTCAGTACCAATAAAACAAGAATCAACCAAGCATTCGTGTTCGGGCACCTCTTTTAAAGGGAATCCAGCCATCAACCCCTTTCCATTCATGGATGGCTCATATTTTTCCTTTATGGATGATAAAGACTATTATTCTCTATCAGGAATTTTAGGACCACCTGTGCCCGGCTTCGATGGTAACTGTGAAGGCAGTGGCTTCCCAATGGGGATAAAACAAGAACCGGATGATGGGAGCTATTACCCGGAGGCCAGCATCCCTTCATCTGCCATTGTTGGTGTGAATTCAGGTGGACAGTCCTTTCACTACAGGATTGGTGCTCAAGGTACAATATCTTTATCACGATCAGCTAGAGACCAGTCTTTCCAACACTTGAGCTCCTTTCCTCCCATCAATACTTTAGTGGAGTCGTGGAAATCACACGGTGACCTGTCATCTAGAAGTGATGGATATCCGGTCCTAGAGTACATTCCAGAAAATGTATCAAGGTAAGTGGGCCTTTTTCTCCTGTTTTGAAAATGGCTTTATAAAATGCTGAAGGTTAGCACTATCTTTACAGTTAAGAAATTTAAACACGTTTGATTTTTGTTTTCAGCATGGTCATTTAGCGCTTCCCCCTTCGCTTGTTGGTTTGTTACTATGTTTTTGAAACAGAGAAACCAAAAATTCTGTGAATCTCTTAGAAAATATTTGTGTTGATTTTGAAGGAGTGTATTTCGGTGTTTTTCCCCCTCTGCATTGCCTGTTGTAGGTGTTTAGGAAAAGTTTGTTTCCTATTGTCTGTTACCATATTTACTTTAGCAGACTAGTGGTAGATTTTTTTTTTCTTTAGCTGTGTACGGGTTCACTAAAATTGCTTTAAATTGGTCTTTTATTTTTCTCCTTTAATTTTCTTTATTAACCACTTCATTGGTTGTGAAAAATGAAATGAAACCCCAAATCTGTTACCCACCAGCTCCCCACCTCTTCATCTTTTTCTAGATTGGTTAATCGTATGCAAGTTGTGGTTTTCAGTACAAATAAATCATTTCCTTAACTCTGGAGGGCTTTTTAAAGACTCAGCACATCTAAAATTACTAAGTGGCCCGTCTTGCTTTCTTACTCATTGGAAGTGAAGTATGTCACTGCAGTTTTGAACTGGTATATTTATAACTTTTAAGTTCTGCAAGAAGACATACTTTACTTACTGTAAAATACCTCTTGGCTTTCCTTCACGCAGATAGCATATTGTATATATTTAGAAAAAACAAGGAAGAGGTTTTAGATACGACTCTGAGGGGTGGTTCTAAGTTATGCAATGAATACTTGCATTGGACTTTGATTCAGTATTGTGTTTATTACACGGTTGTGGTCAACGATCCCTGTATTGAACATATAAAGAATAGATTTCCTAGATATAGTTCACACGGGCATCTAGGAAGATGTGGCTGTTTTCCTTAAAAACTTATTTGGTGGGAAAAATGGCCATTCCCATTAACAAGATGTAAGGTTGACGTGTATTCCTTACTCTTTCTCCTTCAGTTTTTTACCGAAGCAAAAGGAAAAACTTTCATTTGTGCATTATTTTCATCATCATCAACTCATACCTCACTCCTCTTGCTTTTATAGAAGCACACATTCCATAAAGGAAATTTACACATTGTTACAGTTCGCAGTAGCATGACTAGTCAATCCTATCCTAATGCTGCCTCTCTCTCCTAAGTTCTAAACTCTTTACACAAATGCTGAGGTGGCATGATTTTCATCAGAACCAAGCTCAGCAGGTGTTCCACTGCTAGTGCTTTGTTTTACTTTCAGAGCAGGACATTTTGCACACGATGTAGATAGTTTTGTAAGTGATGTTTGCAGTAGGTTATTCAGAGTGGGGACAGCCTGGTAGTTAAGAGCATGGCTGCCCTGGTTGAAATCCCCAACTCTGCCCCTTAACTGCTTTGTGACCCTGTGCACATTCCTTCACCTTTCTGGACTTTAGTCTTCTCATCTGTAAAAAGGTAATTCAGTAGTACCCATCTCAAGGGTAGTCAAGACAATTGAGTTAATTTATAAGAAGCACTTTGACTACATCTGATACACAGTATGCATCATAGAGTATTATATACAATTCATTGATTGCTCTTAGCATTTAATTCAATTGTTTTCATTACCTTTAGTTTCCATTTCTTTTAGAGTTCTCTTTTCTGCATTATGTGAAATTCCACAAAATCTTTTAAAGAAATATGCATAGTGTAAGGAAATATTTGTTGATAAATTCTTATGATTAAATTATTTTTTTTATGGTTAGGCACCCTACATTTGCTACTACATTTCTATTTATGCTCTTTTACTTTTGAAGTCTGTTGCTTTGGGTAATGATATTTCTGGTAGAAATACTAGAGTGATACTAGCTAAAATCAGTAATTCTATTTTGTTTGTTCTGTATCCTATTTCTACTGTTTTAATTGTCTTTTTCACACTCAACTCATGAAGCCCCTTCTGGTAGTCTGGGGACCCATAGCCTTACATAAGTCATATAAATCAGTGACCTTGAGCCTACTCTGCCTTTGTGGGAACCTGGGGTATTGTCTGGTGTCTCTTCTTGAGCATTCCAAAATTCTTAATGAGCTTGTTAATATAGTCAGAGGGGATTCCTTTTGTTTACATATATACCGGTATTGTGCTAGTTAATATAAGTTTTCCAAAAACTGTAATGTCAAAGCTTTAATGTAATTCAAAGTCGCTTTTAGGTTACTAATTCTTTACAGCTTTTCCTGGTGAATATTATCCAAATGTATTTGTTTTGATCATTCTCAGAGTAAACTTAGATTTTTTTCTGGATTTCAGTCTACATGTTATAATATTTAATTTAATCTCATCCAAGCTTCATTATGGGCCTCTTCTTTTGTGTCTTTTGGACCAAATCCAACCTTTCTGCCTATGTCATGATTTATCATGATGACACCCCATTCCAGGGAATGTTGGATTAATGAATTAAAGATTGTAAAGGATCCAGGCAGTGCGAAACTGCTTCTAAGTTTCATAATAGCCTTTATCTTTAGGTTCAACTCTAAACTGTTTTCAAGTAGATGCCGAAGTATGGTTTGGGGTTCCTGAGACCTTTTCAGGGAGGTCCACAAACTCAGAAATTGTGCATTGGTAAAAGCCATTCAAATTGGGAGATAGGGCTTCCCTGGTGGTGCAGTGGTTGAGAGTCCGCCTGCCGATGCAGGGGACACGGGTTCGTGCCCCGGTCCAGGAATATCCCACATGCCGCGGAGCGGCTGGGCCCGTGAGCTATGGCCGCTGAGCCTGCGCGTCCGGAGCCTGTGCTCCGCAACGGGAGAGGCCATAACAGTGAGAGGCCCGCGTACCGCAAAAAAAAAAAAAAAAAAAGGAAGATAGACCAACGGTTTTAATGTAATAGTGTGTGAAAAGTTCACTGATAGAGTTTCAGATTCCATGTGGCAACTAAGCTTTAAGAAACCACTGACTGTCCATTTTCAGTGTTGTGTTAAAGAATGGTATCTGCAGTGATCTGAAATGACCATTAAAATGCTCCTCCTTTTTCCAACAATGTATCAGTGTGAAGCCAGGTTTTCTTCATATACTTGAACCAGAACACATCACCACACATTGACCACAGAAGTAGATACGAGAATCCAGCTGTCTTCTATTAAGCGAGACAATAGACTTGCATAAATTTAAAACAGTGCTGCTCTTTTCACTAAAGTTTTTCGTTCTGGGAACGATATTTTTTTCACATATGCACTTTTATGTTAATGTGTAATGACTTCTTTTAAATGATTTAAAAGAAATATTCATTTTAATTCTAATAGGGTAGATATCAGTAGATAGAAATGGAGATAAACAAAACCTCTTGTCCTCAATACATTTTAAGAGTGGAAAGGCATCCTGAGACCCAGAAGTTGAGAACTGCTGGTCTGTTCTATCCTGTACACCCTTTGGAGGTTAATGCAGAAAGAGGATATTACTCTATTTGTGTTAGCTTTACTGAATGTTATGCTGAGGAAGGGGTGCCCCAGGGAGATAAGGAAAATGATTCTTATCCAGGTGAACTTGTCAAGCTGATAGAAGTGAGTGATGGCCATGGAGTGTGTGTCTGTTTCAGCCTGTGGGTGTTCTACAAGAGCGGTGACCAGAGGCATGCCTGTTATAATTTCCAGCGAGTGGTTTATCAGAGGGCCACACTGGAAAGTACATGATGACAAAAGCTGGATGTAAAACTCTGCGGTGAACACTGGACCTAGCTGGGTCATGCAGATGCGAGTTCCCCTGTCCGCTTGGACACAAACAAAGCTGTGACCTTGAGTGAGTGGCAACTTCTCTCGGCCCCAGTTTCTTCATTTGAAAGAAAACGAGTTGACCTAGATGCTCTCTGAGGTCTGCCAACAGCGCGACTGAGTGGCTGTGTAGTTTCCTTGGAGTCGTTTATGTTAAGAATAAAAATAGAAGTATCCCTTAACATATTTGCTAGTCTTGTTTCAAGTTTATCTTACAAGTCCAGCTCTGTAGTTTGCCAGGGTAGTCAGGATAGAAAAATGTCATGACCATTTACCTTTTAAAAGTAAGGGTGAGTAGGGGTGACCTGTCATTTTGCTTGGAGAGTGGCAGGGTTTTTTTCTTTTAATCAAATCTTTCCTTTCTTAAAACTTGACACTTACGCAGAGTTTCTTGTTCTTTTGAATTTACACTGTTCCTTCTGGAAACAGGGTTTTTCTGTTGACATAACATTGGGTGTTTATGGCGATGGTCATAGTCACTTTGATAGGATTGTAACACAGTGCTACCATTGACTTAGACTTTTCAAATATAAAGTTCACTGTTTCAAAGGGCACATTCTGGTAGTTTTCAAGACAAGTAATCAGGGATTTATCTTAATATATGCTGAACTTTTTTTCCATGATAGGAGGAAACAATTTAGTGATAACCTACAGTTGTTTTCAAAATTTTTCAGTGGTCCCTGGAGTTTTTCGAAACCCATCTTCCATAATAAGTCAAAACCTTCAGAATTCAAGGAGTTTGTTACAAAGTTTGCCATGTCTCTTAGTAAGCTTTGTAAATAAACCGCTGAGATATAAGTAACTTCATGTAATGCAAAGCATGAAAGAATAATGGGTTTTGGAGGGGAGAGATTGATTATTGGTGCTTACCATAATAAATCCATTACAGAATTACTTAGGTCATTTGGAAATGAAAACGTGGAACTTTCTTTCTTTTATTTGTCTTATAATATTTTGATTTTGAAATTGCTAGTGTGCCTAGAATTTCTCCAGGTTAGTGTTCTAAATAGTATTTTTATAAATATTTAAAAGGAGACTTGCTTCTTCTGATGATTCATTCACCTTCATTATTTATGGTATTTCTGGTAAAAGTGATAATTTTATTGAAAACAAACCCTATTCCTTTTTAATAAGCAAATCAGTATGTACTGCCCTTCTATACATTTTGCTTTTCATCTCACAAGTATCCTTGATTTATATGTCAGTATGTC